GAAGGAAGATCTGAATGAGCATCTGTGGGCGGTTAAAGGAGAGAATAATATTTGAGTGTAATATTTGAACTTTTTACAATTAGAACTATTGCTGCATTTAAACATTCGAACTATTCTAAACTATGTATGCAGCTATTTGAGTGTGCGGACTTTAGAAGAAATGAGATCAGATGTATACGGATAGCTTTGGATGGCCGGTTTCCACATAGTACGTGCCCGAGGATGAATGCGATGTGTGTTTTGCGGGTTAGCGTTGGAGATGCTCTAAACAGCCCAATGAAAAATATCCGGAGGCACAGATGATCACGTCCATGCACATGGATTTATATCCTCTATTTGTTTACTTCCATGAGCCTTGAGCAGAGTGAAGATCTTACCCAGCTGTGAGCACAGAGCACAAGGGGCTCGCGTGATGCACAAGGTGTACGTCCGTCCTCGGTTATACTACAACGTGAAGCGTTGCCCATGCCTTCATTTATTGCTTGCCGGATACACAAGCCTGACTCAGCACCGATTCTCTGGCTTGGCGTGCGCTCTAAGAGACGGAGGTGTCACGTATCCTAACTTATCTGCTCTCGGAGACGGAGGCATCCTCACGCAGTGGCGGAGCTAGGATTGGACCAAGCCCCGGGCCAAAAAAAATTCGCCGCGAGGGAAAATCTTAACACCCATAAGGCTTTTAGTTACCTTATTAAAAGATACCCCATACAAAATATGGCTCGGTTGCATTAAAAATTTATTATTTAAACTTAATGCTTAAAAATACAATGAAATAGATAAAAACTTCAAAGAACGGTACATGATAAAAAAGAGTACCGAATCAATGGTTTGCTTCATCAGTGCCTCACATAACCTCATCAAAAGCGGAAGAAGAGTCAACACCTTCAAGGCATTGAAAGCAAAATATCATAAGAGAAGTCATAAACTTTCAATTGGTTTTCTAAGATAGGATCAGCTTCAATATCACCTTTATGGAATTGACCAAGGGCACGAGCAGGAATACCATGATTGTTTCTCTCTCCAGTTGACATTGCAGGTGGGTTGCTTGAAGTCTAATGCGGTGGCCTCATTTCTACAGTTGTTTCTGTTTCTGGTGTTGATTCAGTTTCCTCGGCCACTTGATTCCCTCCATCTGAAATGATAGGTGTAGACAGCCCCGTTGCGAACACCGGCGAAAAAAATGTCTTCATCTTCTTTGTCTACAATATATAAAATGAAATTGACAATTACATCAATTTGGGTTCAACAATATCATACATATATGACTGGATACAAAAGAACATCATATAAATTTCAGTTTAGAGCAGTTTGTACACTGATACAACTTATGCGAATAGAACATGGTACAAGTAGAAAGCATCACAGAAAATTAGAAGCTATACCGCAACCGACAATGAAGCAGCGCCACGCAGGAGAACAACGAACAGGAAGGCAAAGACGGGCAGAAAGTGGGTGGGCCGGGGGCGGAGCCACGACGAATGGCGGCGCGGGCGCTGGTGTCCCTGCTGCTCCTTGAGATCGATCGTGGCGTCCTCGTGCGTGCGACTCGGCGGGCGTCGGCGGCCGCGCGATCGTTTGGTCTCCTGTGCCTCGTGCGTGCTGGATCGTGGGGTGTGTTGTTGCCGTACGTGCGTGAGCAGTCCATCAAGCCTTTGGGCCTTCTTCTTTTTCACTGGGCTACGCCCCGGGCCTGCCAAAAATTCTATATAACTATAGCCTATTAATTTTTCCACGCCCCGGGCCTGGGCCCTGGGTGCCCGGGGCCCAGCTCCGCCCCTGTCCTCACGTATCTGCTAGCTAATGTCAGGGTTAAAACTGAGCTAGCTAATGTGTGCATGGTTCTTTTTTTTTAAAGACCCAACACTTTATGGCATTTCATTGATTTAGCAGAAGAGTGCGGAATACATAGTTCGATCAAGTGATCTTTTGAGACAACTACCGCGGTGCCCAGAAACCTAGTCCCGACTGTTCACCAACTATGCTAATTTCTTGCGTCAATCGCCCCAAAGGGTACTCAAAACATTTGGGCCCAGCCAAATTCAATAGTTCCATGTTGTGTCTGATTTTGCAAGCACTTCGGCCATCGAAGCGATCTTGTGCCTGAAAGTGCATGAGTTTCTCTCTTGCCAAATTTCCCATGTTATAAGGATTAATAGGGACCTAAGAGCCCTCCTTTCTTGCCCGGCAATTGCTTGCTGTGAGATTACTTTGAGAATTTCTGGGGTGGTTCTTGCACTGTGCCGATTCTCATGGTTTAGGGCTCCACATCCTCTCCCTTTTTTGACAGCATTCCGAACCTGCATGGTGACCGGACAACTCCAGAAGAGATGAGTCGATGTTTCTAGGCTTTGGAAGCAAAACAAGCAGAAGTATCCGGTTTCCCATCCGCGCCGCTGCACCCTGTCATTGCAACAATCAATCTTGCAGTAGAAGCTAGAGTGTGAATTGCAAAAAACCACCACATTTGAAGTTCACTTCCGCAATCGCCACCACATTACTTGCGCGTCCCAAAAATCTACCTGTTTTCTTACAAATTTTCTCAATAAACACTAATGAACGATTCGGCGATTTAACCCAATTTTTGACAGAAAGGGCCCGCATGTAAGCGCTGACATGGCATAAAAGGGTCAACACCGTTTGTTGACCACTAAGTTAGACATTGGGCCCACCAATCATCAGCTGAACATACAAAGGGTCCCTGAAAAATGTCATAAAGCACCCTAGAAACAAAATCAGATTACAATTGGATCCCTAGGAGGGTTGCCGTGAGCACGTCACCGCCGGAGGGGAGATGAGCAATGGTGGAGGGGCTCGGAAAGCCAACTCCGGCGACCACATCCGCCGCCACGGGCGAGGAGAGCGGCGGTAGGACATGCAACTCTCCGGTCGGCGCACCAGGGCAGGTTCCTGGTGGCGGCGACCCGGGGTGTGGTGGCCGCAACATGCGTGGTAGCTCCTCGGCGGGCACCTCGGCCTCGATCAGGAATCGCAACATCGCCGCACAAGCTCAAGCACGCCCCCACCCCCATGGTCGGACGCTCCAATAGCACCGGACCAGCGTGCGCGAAGCCGGATATCGGCGGCGACGAGCTCGTGGGCGTGAACTGGAGACTGGCAGCGAGTTCTGGGGCGTGAGCTAGAGATCGGCTCGCCGCACGACATAGAGGAAGAGGACGGAGCTCGCCGGGGCAGGGGGAGGGGCCGCATCACGAGATCCGATGTGGGGCTGCGCGGGGCGGTGGATCTCGCCGACGCTGGGAGGGAGAAGAGGTGGTGGATGGTGGAGGGGGCGGAGCATGGCAAGAGAGGGGCTAGGCGGCGCCGACCATCAAGTGTAGTACGCGGTGATGACTTCAGAGAGATGGGGATCATGGGGAGGGAGGGGATCCTGACGAACAGTCGACGCTGTTTTCTTTAACTTTTAGTGCCACATCAGCACTTACAAGTGGGCCCTACTGGTCAGAAATTAGATTAAATCGTCCAAATCGGTCATTAGTGTTTATTGAGAAAATTTGTAAGGAAACTGGTAGATTTTTGGGACGCGCAAGTAATGTGGTGGCGATTGCGAAAGTGAACTTCAAATGTGGTGGTATTTTGCAATTCACTCGAAGCTAGAAGAACATCTTAAGTCTCTCCGGCGACCTGGGTTTCCTAATGACTGCCCGGAATTCCGAGGCTGGCGCATCCTGGAACTGCATAAGGTAGGCAAACTCAAATTACATGTATTAAGATAAAATTTAATACATGTCTTGCAACCTAGCTTTCCTTTGCGTTACTGGGATCATTAATACAGCACATGCATGCAAGAAAGCTGAGTGGAGGTCAGTGTCATTATGACTACATGCATGCAATTATATAAACAAATTGCTAGTACGAGAAAACATTATTAATCTTTGCCTCCTTTACTGTTAGTGGTCTTGTATAAATGTAAAATGTATATTCTATAGTGGCCTTGTATAAGTAAATGGAGGGGGTACGTACCAACATTAATACACATAAGATTAGGTGTTCGAATAACCAAATCTATGAGCAGAGGAGTGTGCCAGTAAAAGCATAGAGCATATTGTATATGTAAATTGATGGATGCTAGTTGATATACAATTGTCAAGTACAGAGTACTATGTCAAATTGGGCCAGGAAGTATGTTTTTTATTGATTTATGCTTAAACGCTAAATGTGGCATAGCACGCTATAGCTACGCTATATCATTTCAAAGCTTTTGGCCGAGCCGCCGCTAAGAGGCTTAGGGCCATATTTAAATCTTCGTTTGGCACTCAATATGTTTATTTATTTTTACAAAGGTCATGCCTGTTTTTTCTTGTCAAATATCATGTTCTCAAATGTTTTTAGGTACTAACTAATAATTAATGTAATAGCAAGGAAGTCAAATATCGATCAATAATTTCCAAAATATTTAGAGCACATAGCACAAGGGGCTCGCGTGATGCACAAGGCGTACTTGCGTGAACTTTGAGCAGAGTGAAGATCTCACCCTGATTGTGAGCACAGAGCACAAGGGGCTCGCGTGATGCACGAGGTGTACGTCCTCGGTTAGTTATACTACACACATCACAACGTGAAGCGTTACCCTGCCTTCATTTATTACTGCCACCGTATCTGAGATCCGGTGATACACGAGCCTGAGTCAGCACCGATTCTCCGGCTCGGCGGTGGACAATATCATATATATGATCCCATTGTCCGATGATTTCTAGCGTGCGCTCTAAGATAGAGTGATTCCTTTCCGTGTGCATGCTACGGTGTTCGTGATGCACATGGCTGAGATCCCAACATGCACAAGACACGTGGCATGTTTCCATCCATCTAGTGCTGACATGCATGCCGCCATTGCCCTAGCATCCATCTAGTGTCATTGCCCTAGCTAGCTCCCATGATCTATAAATACCACTCCCAACCTTCGAGTTCTCACACACAGCGACCTACTATCTCATAAGCCTATAGCACTGGTTGAGCCAGAGCTAGCCACACCCAACTCCGCCATGGCGAACCCCTCCAATTTCCAGATCACTCCCCGCGCCGCGATCATGGAGAGCAATGAGCTCAACTTCCGCAGCCTGTACCTGTTCCACACTTCCCTCGGCGCAAATCAGACCCAGTCCACGGTAATAGACCCGAATGCCACTACCGGTTTGGGTCAGACGGCTGTTAACAACTGGGCGATATGTGATAGCCCTAGCCCCGGTGCCACCGTCGTTGCACGCGCACAGGGCCTGCATATCTATGCCGGTAACTGGCAGAATACTTTCAGCATAACCTTTGAGGTTGAAAGGTACGTACGCATATAAATATAAATGCAAGGTTATATATCTTTGCCTAGAAATGCATCTTCATGTGGATTAGTTAAGCTACATTTGATTCTATTATTAGGTGGTATTGCATATTTCAGTGCATGATACAGTTGCCAACCATCTGTGGACATGATACAGGTTTAAGGGGGTCAACGCTTCAGGTGATGGGGATATCTGTTGAGGAAGGTGAGTGGGCTATTGTTGGTGGGACAGGACAGTTCGCAATGGCAAACGGTGTCATATACAAAAAGTTCCATGAGCAGAGGAGCGATGGTAACATCATAGAACTCACTGTCCACGCGTTCTGTCCCGTGCTGAATGGCTCGCCGGTGAGATGAATATGCATAGAAATATTTACTTATTCATTTATTTTTAATTAGGAGATATTGCTATTTTTCTCCATAGAAATATTCATTGATTTTTGTTCACACCGATCCTTTTCATTTAAGCAAACATCACATGGTTATTATATCTTGTAGAGCCTTCTCACAAAGCTTGGACCATGGGGTGGAAGTGGAGGGTCGGATAAAGACATCGTTGAGGCACCAAGGCGTCTAGAGAGCATCACAGTTAGCAGCGGCTTGATTGTTGATTCAATCAAATTTTCTTATGTTGACCAAGCTGGCCAGAAGCACACAGGTGGACCCTGGGGAGGATCCGGAGGAAATCAAAACACGGTTCGATCTCTGAATTGACTTTTATGTGATTTTCTCAATTCCATATGTAAGCAACTCAACACTTCTTTTTTCTTTTGCTATGCAGATCGTACTCGGGGCTTCTGAGTTTGTGAAGGAAGTCTCTGGGACACACGGCATTTTTGACAAAGACCAACACCACATAATAACGTCACTGAAATTCATCACCAATGTGAAGGCTTATGGGCCTTTCGGAGAAGCAAAGGGAACCCCTTTCACCATACCTGCGGAAAAGAATAGCAGCATAGTGGGCTTTTTCGGGCGTAGTGGGATATATCTCGATGCGCTTGGTGTCTACGTGTCCAACTCTAGCTAAGCAATAGCGGCTAATGTTCTTATTTTCGGCGTTTGTTTCTCAATTCAAATAAGAAGATGAGATTGTTGTCCTTTCTCATCCAGAAGATCCTATGTAGCCACCCGGACTTTTAGGTCCCTTTGTTGTGATGAATAAAAATATCAGTTTTTCTTATATATGTGTGATGTGTTTTCTGTATGTGTCTTGCTTGGGATGCATGTGACGTGATAACTATAAGAATTGAGTGAAATAAGAAGTGCATGCGTGCGTGCGTGCGTGCGTGGCGCGTTCATATCCTCAAAATTATATGCTAGTTCTTGTGGTTGCTCCATATGGACACGAACATCCGAACAAAGGAAAGACCACATACATGGCCTATTAGTGCTTGGACTCCTAATCTCCTATTAGACTACTACTTGAATGCACGACATGGCATATTAGCCACACACAACTACTAACCCACATACCAACTAATACATGTAAATTAACTAAACAGACAACAATCAAGATTATGCTAACAATGGGAACCAACAAACGAGTTTCAATAGAAAGAATCTTCTTGGTGAGTCCGTAGCTAGTAGGAGCATTTCTAGCTCTTCCCAAGAAGATTCATCTCCCCAAAACGGAACTTCTATGAGTTAACACCACCGAGTCCTTCCCATTAAAATTCTAGCCCCATTAAATATGATAAGTTTACCCATAAACCGAATCCATCCTACTCAAATTTGAGGAGCTCTTGAAACCCTCTCGGGACAGTAGTAGTTTATGTAAGTTATTATCAGCAAATTACATAGTAGTTTCATATTAATTTCATGTACAGAAGATTGTGTGCGCTTGGAAGAGGAGGGCAGGGCAAACTTTATCATTGCCACTGCAAACAACATGAGCATGTCAATGCTAGCGGCAACAACAACCATCAATCGTTGTGGCTCTAGGCGACACAGGTTCTACCATTCTAGTGGCAACAATATCCCGTAAATAGGGAACTAACCGGTAAATTTCTATTTTAATCATATTTTGGAATTTCTATAAAAATGTAATAATATTACAAAAGGCTTGCTCTTGTACTGTACCAGATCCGACAAGGGAGCCTCCAACACCGTGAAACATAATCTCCAACCTAAATCTTCCAAGGAAGGTGTGCGTGTTTCTTTGGAGCTCTCCACATGAAAGTAATCGAGGTAAATACAATTTGACCTCTCTGCAGCCGATTGGATGAAGATGGAGGGCATGCTTTCCTTCCCCAATTGTAAATATGTGACTTGTGTTTTCATCTTGTAGAGGTCGGGGTCAACCCCCTTTTTGAAGAAAGAAAAATATATCTCGTCAGTTGTGCAAAAATCATGCAGATAACTTTGTCGATTTAGAGTTTACGCTATGATGTTTGTTCTGCAACTTTCACTCTAATGTGGAACATATGGGATGCCCGGGTTATTGTTTAATGTAGGAGAAACAATGCAGCTGACCATGTCACTTGTCATTGCCATTGTATCTTGGATGCGCTAACTGAAGGAGTTATGTGATGTCCCGTCAAAGAAGTCTGAAGCTCCAAAATCTATATTGAGGGGTGACAGTTCAATCCACAATTGATGCTTGGACAAATGATTATCGAGACGGATCCTACTATCCATGGGAATGCTTTAACATTTAGTGCTCATAATCTTGCTCGGCATGGTGTGCTTTTGACTGGTTCTCTTGACTTCAAAGTTGTTGCCTCTTGTAATCGAGCATGTAATGTTGTTTCACATGGAGACTGTATGGCCAATAGTTTGTATCACCTACGGTGCAATGGTGTTCAGAGAATCAGTTGGACCAAAAATTGTCTACATCATGGAGTTTCAGCTGGTGCAAAACCATTTCCATCGACAAGATATGGGACATGACATTTCATGATGGCTTGTGCAACACAACTCGAGACAGCTGGCAGATGAGGCATGCATGCCTCTCGTTTGTGTTGTCTCGCTTGTTGTGCCGCCGCTTCTTCGGGATGGATTGTGCAAAAGCCGGTTGTCCAGAGACGCGCATGTTTGCACTTGAGGGCTTGCTCGCGGAGGACGGTGATGAAGCCGACCATTACTCCACAACATTTGGTATCATGGAGGTGGAGTTGGGTTTCCTCTACGACTTCTTCTTCACAAAGTATGCAACTCTCTTTTGGGGCATTTTCATTGCCTATGTCTTCTAATTTCCACATGAGCCGCGACATGTGTGTGTATGTTCATGGTTATCTGATTTTCCTTGTGTTTTTGCATGTTTTCCTTGGCATTGTATGTTGGTTCTGAAATGAACCACAGTGTGCGTGTGCATGCGTGTGTGTGCACATGCCATGTTAAACATTTTTTCAGTTTCCTACTTTCCTTGCAATTCGCCATTTGGGCTTTCACATCGGTCTCCACATGTGTGTGACATGTTTATGGTTTTTCCAGGGTTTTCCCTGGCATGTGTCATTCAGTTTTCAGATTACGTGTGTGTGCCATGTTCATACACACAACGAGGTTGTAGCGCTTGACTCTGAGTCCGTTGGATGGCACTAACATATTGCATTGTGGTGCTTCTCACACCCAACGCGGCGCAACACCAAAGCATCACTCCCCTTTGTTTGCCTGTGTCAAGAGAATTTGCATGCAAGCATGTCGCTCTCCAAGTCGTTGTCATATCTACGAGCAGTGAGAGGTCATCATGTTGTCCTGCCTCGCCGGAGATCCCCCAGAAGCATGTTGAGATTACTGATGGTAGGATACCAGCTGCAAGCTTACACCACCAGAGTTAAAAAGGGCGATGGAATGTCTACCTCCTGCGCTCTAACATCTGGGACATGGTGGACACGAGCGAAAAGAACCACGACGACCATAGGGCATTTAGAGGCAAAGCATGCAAGCCATGTTGTTAAAGATGCTCACTGTGAAGAGGGTCGTAGAGGAGGCATGGGACATGGTGAAGACGGTGTGCATCAACACCGCTTATTTTCGCAGGGATAGGGCGAAAACGCTCTAAAAGGGTCTGAGATCAGGTTCAAGCGCAGCGAGAGCACGATGAGAGCGCCATCATCATCTTGAGCAACATCAGTATCAAGACAGTCGGTCATCATAGCAAGTGAGGGCAACACCGACGCCTAGCCCCTGCTCACATAGGAGGACTAGCATGAACAGCAGATGCGGTACGACAGTTCCGTTGGTAAGGCAAGATCTGCCAGTCCACTAGCACACCCTCGTCCTTACAACAACAGTTGGTTAAACAAACAGCTAGCCAAATCTATTTGAAGTACAAACTGTTTTTGAGCCAATCCACACGAAACCAGTTTCAAATATCAATATGAAAGGCTCAAGGGAAAGCTTGATGCATAACAAAGGAAGAGCCGCAGAAAAACCCACGGGGCATAAAACTTTCAGCATCAAATGAACATGCTCCAAAACATGAAGGAATCACATTATATAATTATTAAACAGGTCTGGATGCACCGTCAGTTTACAGGTATCTAATTATTACAGCCCAAAATGTCTGTGATCCTTAATGTTCATTGGTTTCCTCGGGGGCGGCTCTTTGTCACAAAGGCAAAGCGTACCCTATATCACGGAATTGAAGAGCAGGTCAGGTCAAGAATAGATGACGCAATAACACATTACATCACGTTAAGTCGACAAGGACTAATTATGCAGGGTGATTTCAAGCTTATAGCAAATACAGGATGATTTCAAGCTCATAATGAAGCAATAATGTGATATCCAATATCATTCCAGGCTCAACAAAAAATCAAGGTCCCGGAGAAAAGGGGGCAAAGCTCCATTATTTTGTTAAGAGTACATTCATCAAGAGCAATGGCCAAAATAGCTGGGATACATGTTCTAAGCACTATCAGCAAACAAATGCACTTTGTTTTTAACTCGGTGGCTTCACTTCTCAGCTGTGCAGCTCCTAACCATGATCAGATGCGCTTTTTAAAACCTAAAACAACCATAGTCAACAGATAAATACCCCATCTTTTCCAATAAGAAAAAACGGAAAATAAGCATTTCAATTCACTTGGTGCCAACTACAAACATCTCATGTTCAATTCACTTACTAACTGTACTTGATCAATTCGATATTTCCTCGCTGTGTAGGAGTATAGTCTACCAAGCAAGATGTCAATATTCAATATGTTATTACTGGCACACAAACTAACATTTTGATATGCATTACTGGTTGTATAAAAGGACCCTGGTCTGCCAAGCAAGACCACAATATTCAATATATGACACACAGAAAACAGTATGCATTATTATGTTAAGAGTACATTCATCGAGAGGAGTGGCAAAATAGATGGGACACATGTCTAAGAAATATCAGCAAACAAATGCACTTTCTTTTTAACTCGGTGTCTTCACTTCTCAGCTGCAGAGCTCCTAACCATGATCAGACGCGCTTTTTAAAACCTATAACAACCATAGTCAATAGATAAATACCCCATCCTTTTCAAAAGGAAACAACGGAGAATAACCACTTCAATTTACTTAGCAGCATTAATTGATCAATTTGATATTTCCTGGTTGTATAAAAGGAGTCTGGTCTACCAAGCAAGACCTCAATATTAAATATGTATTACTGACACACAAAACTAGCAGCATTTTATATGCATTACTGACTGTGACACCAAAAGAGAAACGACTGTCCAAAGATAAACAAGTGATATGCATTACTGAGAACTACATTTGGGGGCATAAAACTTGAAAATACTGTCCTTGCTGCCAAATGCTGCCGAGCCAGGATGACATATTTGTTTGACTTACCTGATGGAGCTCAGGAAGATCAAAATTACTACTCTACCATGAAAAATTTCTTAGGGGCTGTTTGGTTCTAGGCCTAGCAATGCCACACTTTGCCATACAATATTGTCAAACTTGCCTAAGGCTAGTTCTTCAAAATGAGAGCCATAAGTTGACAAGCCTAAGGGAATATTGCCACACTTTTTGAGTGTATGTGATGTGGAACCCTAGTGTGGCTTGCCTAAGGTGTGGCCTGAACCAAACACCCATCTAAGTTGGTCAAACTTACCTAACCTTAGGTGTGACAACCTTGGGCAAACTTGGTCTCAAACCAAACAGCCCCTTGGTGTAAACATGCTATATAGCTCGTCAACCTCAGTATATGACATCAATATTCTACAGAACACTCACTAAAAGAAGCGGCAGTGAGCCCCTACATTAGCAATTGCCCCAGGAGATGAAGCAGGTCGTTTCAAAGGAATAAAGTTTATTTTCTGGTAACTAGGTCTCTCCAATAGTGGATACATAGGCTACCGTTTTCCTGCCATGTCACCCGGAATCCTAGTTGGGGGAGTGATTGGGTGAAGTACAAGGAAGAGCATGGTGAGGAACTGTTAGGAGGGGATTTGCGGTAGGAAAATTAAAATTAACTATGCGAACGAGGACACACACAAATGGTTGCAGATGTTACTTTTGGTGTTGTCTCTAGGTGAAGTGATACAAAATGGATATTCTTAGGTAACCTTCCGGATATCACAACAACCAAAAACTACGCGCTCAAATCCAAAAATGTAAGGCGCCCATGGATCAGTTCCAAGAAATGTGACAAAATCGTCAAGTAAAAAAGATATGAAATAAAAAGGTATCTAGACCCATGAAAATCAAGGATCTGACGCTACCGCAATTCGAAAAACTGTGCTGATGAATTTCATTCTCCGTAGCTACACATCGATCCTTGACTGATCAGATTTATGAATACTCTGTCACCGACAGATAAAGTCAAGCAAAGATAACACATGGTCCTACTTACTATAAAACTAACCATACACAGAATTAGTTGAGTACAGTGGATACAAGTGGACAAATCATCCTAACTGACCACAAACAAAACGTTGTTTAGTCGCTTGGCGCTAAAACGATAGATGTTACATACTAACTGCCTTCGTAGAAAAGAGCGATAGCAACAACCAGCAGGTATTAACGAAAAGCTAGCCTCAAGGTGTTCTAGGATCTTATCCTTGTAGTGCAAGGGATCATTATATCACTCACAGGTATAAAGGTTTATAAACTAGGCGATTTAGTCTCAGACTAATAATGAGCAATACTTCTCACCGCCATAAATTCAACTATTATGCATGTTGATCACTGAATCTCTCCACAGTAACAGGATTCACTCTCTTGTGTGTAGGTTCGCATGTCGATAATAGCCATATTCATAACCGCACCGACAGCTATTCCCCATCGCAACACAATACCACTCACCGCTCAACATTTGTACTCGGTTGTAAGTGTCGAACTCCAGGATTACAGGGTTGCTTTTAGTGGATACATAAATTAATCTGAGACTGACGCATCCAGCTAATTTAAATGTGGGAAACCAGAAAAACAAACTGAAAAGGGGGGTAAGGCACCGCGCGGATTTGGTACCTTGGGAGAGGGAGCACCAGCAGGTGGAGTCGACGGCGATGCAGGACTTGAGGCGCGCCGACGCGACCGCGGTGTGCAGGGGCAGCAGCGTCTCCAGCCCCGCCACGGCCGACCTGCAGGGAACCTCGATGTCACACGCACAGAACCACGCCCATCGATCCGCTCATCTACTGACTACTGGACAGCAGCATACCTGCGGAGGAGGCGGGCGGCCCGTGCGGGGGAGGAAGACGGCAGGGAGGAGCCGAGGCCACGGCCGGCGAGGGGCGCCGGGCGGAGCGCCGCTCTCGCGGCGGTGGCGGCGGCGCGGGCTAAGGATGCCATTTCTTTTCTTCTCATTCGGAGCGTGCGGCGGCGTCGAGGGCGTTAAACCCTAGCGGAACCTTGAAAGCCCACCCTTTGCCTCGGCCCATCTCTGGAGTCAACTTTTGATGTACTAGCCATTATTGGCCCAAAAACTGCTTGAGCACGACTTGTCAGGATCTACCACCACTCACCCCTAAAAACAACACCATTTGCTCTTTTTTTTCAAAAAAAACAAAATAGTTTTTCCTGCATACTTTTCACATTACTGTAAATATTAAAATATGTATCTGGCTTATCCAAAATTTCTAAAAAAAAAAATCCAGTTTGCGAGAAGGTGATGCTTGAGATGGTTTGTCGACAAATGGTGGGCAACGGCACGCATCATTACATGCATTGAGATTTGAGAGGAATTAGGTTAAAAAATAGATCCTTTTGCAGGAGTACATTCTTCAGGTTTTTCTAATGCCTTGATGATCTCGAGTTCAGCGCCTAGCTCTTCGTGGAGGACTAAATCCTTTCTCTTCTACTCCCTCCGTTCCCAAATAATTGTCTTTCTAGCCATCTCAAATGGACTACAACATACGGATGTATGTAGACATGTTTTAGAGTGTAGATTCACTCATTTTGCTCCGTATGTAGTCACTTGTTGAAATCTCTAGAAAGACAATTATTTAGGAACAGAGGGAGTAGAATGCTTGTGTCCCTTCCTCAAATATCATTCTCATATTGAGGACTTGCAATGCGTCAACTGAAGTGTTGTAGTAGTACAACTCTTTATCCACGTAGGCACAACACGCGTGCCAGAGCGTTGAGCCGTTGATTCGTCGGGCTAAACCTTTGCTCCGTGGATTCACTTGAGAGTAATTTTGCCATGAATGTTACTGAATCAAGAGGTGACCAAACATGAGCTGTTGTGCACGGTGCGTGGCCAGCCAGCGGCACCGGCACGGGAGGGCCGGAGGGGCGTCAGATCCGAGTTTGATCGCAGGATCCGAGCTTTGTAACATGGCTCCCGTCGCAGCCCTTTCGAGTGCAAAACCTCCTTGTTGCCGAGCGACCATGGGCCATGGCGAGAGGAGGGCGGCGGCGGGATGGACCGTCCCTGCAGCAACCATAACCATCCATCCCCGCAGAAACCGCAACGCATATCGTCGCAGCGGGAAGAAACCCAAAAAAGACAAAAAAAAATTGTTAAATGTTATGTACGGCCAGCCCAGCACGCAAACTCCTTCTGCACTTTAATGCTATGCAACTCTAAAGAATCCATCATCTGTTGTGCACGTCAAGATGCATGGGGTTGTGACCAGTTTTTCCTCATTTTCTGTTATACAGTATGTAAACATCACCAAACACAGCTAGTGATCCCCTTAAATACAACCTTTTATTTCATCTTTATTAGATTAAATCATCCAAATCTCGTAAACCATAAGTTTCTATTTGAGTTCTTTTACATGTTTGAACTCCTGGCATCAAAACCTTTTAAACTAGATAATACCCCGCGCGTTGCTGCGCAATAGGTTGCAATATATACTAATGTGATTTGATTTTATTGAAGATGGATATTTGTATTAAGAATATGATAACTAAATCTGAATATACATATGTGTTATCATATTATTGTAATAAGTATCATTTTTTCATGCATAGTACATATGATTTATAATTGGCAAAATATATAATGAGTAAATCATATTATTCATGCTTAATTATTGGGTTCTAAACTAATTTTTTTTACATTGGTTGCCCTTGGCAGTCCTGAAAGAAATTGAATTAAGGAACACACTTTGGGGAAAAAATGGAAACCAAATGGACGCTTCATATGCTGGTAAGATCAGAGGCATGATGGTGAGCCAAATGTGCTTTTGGGTAATTGGAAGGAAACTTTTAAACACAAATTATATGGCGTTACCCCATAGAGTTAGAAAAGCAATATGTACTACTCAAAAATGGCTTGATAATCTGATGTGATCATCTTCCTTATTTTTATCTTATGCGTGCCTGTTAAGATTAACTTATTTGTATAAGACGTCCTACCATTTCCTGTCAAAATAATTCGATCTTTCATCCATCTCTGGACAGATTTACAGAAGGTGTTGTAAAAAATAATAAGCAAATCATGTAGCACAAATTTATGGTAAAGTTGCAAGATAATAGGAGGATTAGTAGTGGAGAAATCCGGAATAGCCTGCTATGATTCCCTAAAAAAGGAATATCCTGCCACGTGGTATAGATGCCATGAGGGGGAGGACATAATAACCAAAACATGTAGGATAACCTCATGCTAAAGTAGCAAGATAATAGGAGGATTAGGAATGAAGGAATCAAAAATAAACTGCTACATTTTACACACAAAAAAACAACAACGAATAGCATGCTACATGGTACAGATGCCATGAGGGGGAGGACCTGCAGGCAATGGAGAATCCATATTTCGCTGAGCACTATAATCAGTATGAGAAGAAATAGAGGTGCATGAAGGATAACCGCACGGCAATATTAATTTAGGAGACATAATCATGGATTGACACCATTGGTTATTTACCTGCTCAAGGGCAAGGTCTTTGCTGCAGTCAAAGGGTAGATAAAAGCAGGGGATTTGTCCATGATGTGCAACAGGAAAGAGATACAGGGTGGAGGCGCTGGAGATGACACCAAACTTCGATCGAGCGAAGGTCATGGGGACTGCAGCAGGCGACATGCAGCCGGTCGACGATGGAGGTCTTCGAATTCAACGCCTTGAGCAAATACAACAGCAGTAACTTGTAGGTGCTTGGTACCTGAGAACAGAATGGCTCGGGTAGGGAGATTGGGAGAGGAAGAGGATGGGGCCCTAGGTCACCGGTCGCTCCGCCCGGATACATGATGAGAGGCAGGTGATCTAATTGGAGCTGAGCCTGCGGTCACCACAACGCAATGCCCCAATGGGGGCTTTTAATCCTTGATTTGTAATTATTACAGCCTACAATTTGCAGGAAGTTGGATGGCATGAGGGAGTTTAAGGGGAATAATGCCGTTGATTAAGGGAGATGAATCGGATGGTATGGTGGAACTTTATAAGGTAAGAACTGTGCGCTGGTTAAACATTAATTAATGACATGCGAGAATGCATAAAGTGGGTGAAGTTCTTTACTACCGCAGGAAACAAAACGCAAGAAGGGGCTGGGCTTCGATCTGTTTGCATGTAAATGGAAACTGAAGGCATGACATGGCATGTATGGATGTTTAGAGTTGCTGATATGGTCTGATGCTGATGTGGACAACTTGCATGTTTAGATAAATATGGTAGTGGGGATGAACTTCTTAAGTATATAGGATAAGACCAATAATGGACACATTTCAAATACGTTCTAATTTCAATGTTTCACATTTCATATGTGAAACAAACTTATTTCACTATAAAAATTTGCAAAAAAAAACTATTTCACTAGAAACCTATTTAACCCAAATATGAAACTGAAATGTCAGCTTTGCGAAACTGATTATTTTGAAATGTATAACAGTTTATTTCAAAAATTGGAAATGTTATTTGGAAAATATGCAATTGAAATAGATGTGGTTTTTGTGAAACAGACTAGTGAAATATAAAATATAGATTCTGAATTGTGAAATAGTAATAATCACACAAAGTGAAGTTATAATGTATCATTGTGAAACTAATTATTTCAAAATAGTGGAATATGTTAATGCAAAAAATGTGTAAATGAAATATATGTTATTTTTTTAAACAAGACAGTGGAAGTGAAATGCAGGTTCAAAATTATGAAAGAGTTATACAGAAAGTGAAATTCTAATGTATCATTGTGGAACTGATTATTTGGACATGTGTAATAGTTTATTTCAAAAAGAGTGAAAAATATGTGTTTTGAAAAATGTTCAATTCAAATAGATGTTTTTTTAAACAAGCCGGTGGAAAGTGAAATGTAAGTTTTGAATTGTGAAATAGTAGTTATACAAAGTGAAATTGTCATGTACCATTACGAAACTGATTATTTGGACATGTGTAATAGTTTATTTCAAAATAGTGGAATGTGTGTTCTAAAAAATATGCAACTGAAATAGATGTTTATTGTGCACCAAGTCAGTGAAAAGTGAAATGTAGGTTCTAAATTATGAAACGGTGACAACATAAAGTGAAATTGTAATGTAACATTGTGAAACTGATTATTTCAAAATGTGAAACATATGTTCAAATTTAAATGTGGTTAAAAACATATCCAAGACTGATCTCATTTTAAAGATTTGGGCACAAGAATTTCAAATATGAAAATATTTCAAAGACGAATATATAGTTGAAAAGATATTGATATAAATTAGCCAAGCTGAAAAAGATGTTGAATTTATTGTGTGGAAGAAAAGAGAGAGTGGTTCTGCCACATTATTGTCGTGCATGCATGTGAAGTACAATGTTGGTGCCAGATATGAGAGAGAGAGAGAGAGAGAGAGAGAGAGAGAGAGAGAGAGAGAGAGAGAGAGAGAGAGCAACACGAAGATGGGAAATTTAAGTGGAATATGCAATACAAAAATACTTAGCGCACAAAGTGCTAGATTGGAACTCCCCAATTAGAAACCCAGCCCAGTACCACCCGAGCAATGTCTGTCCGGGCTTGGGCCGGGTCCACCTGAGCAATGTTTGCCCCGGCTTGGGCCAACAACCCTTGTCACTCACGAATCGCACAGTAGGCAGGGTCATCTTTGTTCCCCCTGGTCATAGGAGAAGCGTAGTTTCTTATTTGGCACGCAGGTCGCCCGAGAGCGACCCAGGGCGCACCCCCTCTAGCGAGCTCGATCAGCGTTTGGGACGGCCCATTTTAGGTGTATTCCTCATCGGTTTTGGGAACGTTAACCGGTTTTTTCGGGTTTTTTCTTTGTTTTTTTGTTATGTTTTTTGTTTCTTTTTCTTTTTTCTTTTATGTTTCTTGTTCTTTTTTCCTTTTTATTTTATGTTTCTTGTTCTTTTTTCCTTTTTGTTTCCTTTTCTTTTACTATTTCCTTTTTCTTTATCATGAACATCTTTCAAATCTCTGAACATTTTTTTTTGGAATCTTGAACATCTGTTTTGAAATCATGAGCATATTTTCAAATTCTTTAAGATTTGTTTTCAAATAATAAACATTTTTTCAAATTCCTACACATTGTTTACTAATTCACGAACATTTTTTAAATTGTGAATATTCTTTTGAATTCATGAACATTTTTACAAATTCGTGAACATTTTGTTTGAAGTTGCAAACATTTTTTGAACTCAGAAACAATTTTTGCATCGGCGAACGTTTTCTGAATTTTGGGTATACTTTTTGAAAATCATGAACACTTTTTTGTTTGATGAACGTTTTTTTTTCAAATGCATGAACAATTTTCTGAGTTCATGAATAGTTTTTGAATTGGTGAATAGTTTTGAACCGATGAAGTTTTTTTTTTGAAATTCACAAACATTTAAAAAAAATCTGAACACTAGTTCGCGTTTTTATTGAAATTGATGAACAACATGAACATTTAAAAAAAGTTGATGAACATCACAAACAATAATTTACAAAGATGTTGACGTAAAAAACGTTCATGTCATCATTATTAAAAAATGTTCACATTGTCTTGAAGAATTATTTAAATGGTGTGTTAAAAATGTTCACCGTCAACTTATAATGCGTTCATCCTGTCTTGAACTTTTTTGTTTTGTGAATTTAACTCATGCTTGTCATGTATGAAAACATGTTTACCGCGCATTAGAATGCTCCACACATACTTAGAAAATGTTAGAAATGGTTTCATCACGTAATTCTGAAAATGCATGTCTTATGTTTAACAGGAGTTACCCGTGTACTTTACAAGATGTTCACGGAGAAAACAGGGAGAAATAAAGGAAACCCGAGCTCATTTGCCGAGTTCTCTTTGACATTGTTCTGTCCGCCTCCAAAAGCGCCATGTCTTCTCAACGCCCGGGCATCCATCCAATGATTTGTATTTTTGATAGCGTCGAACTTGAGCGAGTACCCACACAATCTCGATTTGATACAGCAACACGCACGCACCCTACTCACTTTTGCTTTCTGGTTTGGGCATTCATTCCTGGGCCGGGCCATACGCGGGCGGTAGAGGCGTGCGTACAAGCGAGATATAGCTTCCCGTTTCTTCTGAGGTCCATTGTACGAGTACTATGTAGCTGTAGGTAGAAGCTTCGGGACACCAAGGCGAACCGCCTCCCTCGCCGCGCACCAACGGAGCCGCAAGAACCTTCGGGAACCCCCGCGAACGCGCGCCCAAGCTCCCGCCTCTCCCCGCGAGCTCGCGCCCGCAATCCGTGGAAGGCGCCACAACACCTGCGAAGGCCCCGATCGATCCCCTCTCCGGGGTATAAATCCACCCGCTCGCCACCTGTTCGTCAATCTGTCTGTTTGTTCCCAAATCTCTTCTCTCAGCGCGACAACCAAGCACCGCAGCGAGCGAATCCGAATCGGCGGCATTGCACGCAGCGAGGAACCCACCCACCGACCCATCCAATCCATCTCCCCCCAACCCAATCTTCCGGCGAAAGAGAGGCCATGGCGACGGACGTGCAGATGGGCGGCGGCGCGGCGGAGGCGGAGACCTTCGCGTTCCAGGCGGAGATCAACCAGCTGCTCTCGCTCATCATCAACACCTTCTACTCCAACAAGGAGATCTTCCTCCGCGAGCTCATCTCCAACTCCTCAGATGTATGTACTCCTCTCTTCCTTGCTTGCTCCTCTGTTTCTTCCTTGCTCTGTTTCCTCTCTGGCTTGTTTGCTCGTTCGTCGTCAGAGTCAGAGCAATCTGTCTGTTTGCTTGATTTGCTCACACGCGAATGCTGCTATGCTTGCTTGCAGGCGCTTGACAAGATCCGGTTCGAGAGCCTCACCGACAAGAGCAAGCTGGACGCGCAGCCGGAGCTCTTCATCCGCCTCGTCCCCGACAAGGCCACCAAGACGCTCTCCATCATCGACAGCGGCGTCGGCATGACAAAGTCAGGTATGCCTCTCCTCCCTCCTCTTTCCCTCCCAATCAATCGATCATGGACGCTAGCTGAATTCTTGGTTGCTGAATTTCTAACGATAACTAATTCAGAGATTCAGACTGAAACTTCAGTTGCCTCTGAACTCTGACGATGTCTAACGGGAACTAAATTGATTGTTTGCTGTGGCGGGCGGCAGACCTTGTGAACAACCTGGGCACCATCGCGCGCTCCGGCACCAAGGAGTTCATGGAGGCGCTTCAGGCGGGCGCGGACGTGAGCATGATCGGCCAGTTCGGGGTCGGCTTCTACTCGGCCTACCTCGTCGCCGAGAAAGTGGTGGTCACCACCAAGCACAACGACGACGAGCAGTATGTGTGGGAGTCGCAGGCGGGAGGCTCCTTCACCGTCACCCTCGACACGGAGGGCGAGCGGCTCGGCCGCGGCACCAAGATCACGCTCTTCCTCAAGGACGACCAGCTCGAGTACCTGGAGGAGCGCCGCCTCAAGGACCTCGTCAAGAAGCACTCGGAGTTCATCAGCTACCCCATCTACCTCTGGACCGAGAAGACCACCGAGAAGGAGATCAGCGACGACGAAGACGATGATTCTGCAGAAAAGAAGGAGGGCGAGGTCGAGGAGGTCGACGACGACTCCGAGAACAAGGACAAGAAGAAGACGAAGAAGGTGAAGGAGGTGAGCCACGAGTGGGCGCAGATCAACAAGCAGAAGCCCATCTGGCTGCGCAAGCCGGAGGAGATCAGCAAGGAGGAGTACGCGTCCTTCTACAAGAGCATCACCAACGACTGGGAGGATCACCTCGCCGTGAAGCACTTCTCGGTGGAGGGGCAGCTGGAGTTCAAGGCGGTGCTCTTCGTGCCCCGCCGCGCGCCCTTCGACCTCTTCGACACCCGCAAGAAGATGAACAACATCAAGCTCTACGTGCGCCGCGTCTTCATCATGGACAACTGCGAGGAGCTCATCCCGGAGTGGCTGGGCTTCGTCAAGGGCGTCGTCGACTCGGACGACCTCCCCCTCAACATCTCCCGCGAGACGCTGCAGCAGAACAAGATCCTCAAGGTCATCCGCAAGAACCTCGTCAAGAAGTGCATCGAGCTCTTCTTCGAGATCGCAGAGAACAAGGAGGACTACGCAAAGTTCTACGAGGCCTTCTCCAAGAACCTCAAGCTGGGCGTGCATGAGGACTCGCAGAACCGCGCCAAGCTCGCCGACCTGCTCCGCTACCACTCGACAAAGAGCGGCGACGAGCTCACCAGCCTCAAGGACTACGTCACCCGGATGAAGGAGGGGCAGAAGGACATCTACTACATCACCGGCGAGAGCCGCAAGGCCGTGGAGAACTCGCCCTTCCTGGAGCGCCTCAAGAGGCGCGGCTACGAGGTGCTCTTCATGGTGGACGCCATCGACGAGTACGCCGTGGGGCAGCTCAAGGAGTACGACGGCAAGAAGCTGGTGTCCGCCACCAAGGAGGGCCTCAAGCTCGACGAAGAAACCGAAGAAGAAAAGAAGCGCAGGGAGGAGAAGAAGGCGGCGTTCGAGGGCCTCTGCAAGACCATCAAGGACATCCTCGGCGACAAGGTGGAGAAGGTCGTTGTATCCGACCGCATCGTGGACTCGCCGTGCTGCCTGGTGACCGGCGAGTACGGGTGGACGGCCAACATGGAGCGGATCATGAAGGCGCAGGCCCTGCGGGACAGCAGCATGGGCGCCTACATGTCGAGCAAGAAGACGATGGAGATCAACCCGGAGAACGGCATCATGGAGGAGCTCCGCAAGCGCGCCGACGCCGACAGGAACGACAAGTCCGTCAAGGACCTGGTGATGCTGCTGTTCGAGACGGCGCTGCTCACCTCCGGGTTCAGCCTGGACGACCCCAACACCTTCGCCGCCAGGATCCACCGCATGCTCAAGCTCGGGCTCAACATCGACGATTCCGCCGATGGCGCGGAGGAGGAGGACGCCGACATGGCGGCGCTGGAGGAGGAGGGTGCCGAGGAGAGCAAGATGGAGGAGGTGGACTGAATCTCTTGAAGAATCTCATTTCATTCCAACCAGGAGGAGAAGAAGATGAGCAGTGTCGTGTGCGTCCATGGGTGAGTGAGTTCTAGTGGTTGTTGGTCGCTGCGTGTCCAGTCGAAGTTAGTCTGGTAGTGTCGGTGTCGTTCTTGTTTGACTCTTGGGTCAAATATATCAGTGTCACTATGTGTCTTCTGGCGATGTATGATATGAGATGTGAGAAGTGAGGGAGTTTGTTCCCTGTCGGGTCCAACTCTGAAGAGAAAAAAGAAGAGTTGAGTCTGAAACTTGACTTGTCTGTCTTCTTGCTTTGAACTGAATGAATTCAGAGACGAGCCTGAAACTCTTCTTCTGCCTGCCTCTGATCAAATTCATTGTTACTGTGAGATTGCTTGGCCATGATCAAATTCAAGAGTCTCTGAAGTAAAAGTCATTTGCCGGCCAAGCCGATGATGATGGTCTGGACTTGTCCATGGCAGAGTCGGTTTGTTCCCTGTCTGCTCGAATTCTGGAGAAAAAAGAGAGTCTGAAACATTTGTGTTCTTCTGTGATACTAAAACGTGCTTTGTTGAGTTGCTCTGTGAGATTACAAGATGGATCAAACTTCTTTCTGAATCCGATGCATTTGTTCACTCATCTCCGCACATTTCAAAACGTCTAATAATTCTTAACCTGCCAGTGCCACCCTTCATCAAACTTGCAGTGTTCTGTATGTTTGCCTGAACTGACGAACTGTCCTCAGAGAAATTTGAGAGAACTGAGTTTTTCTTTTTTAGATCTAGAGCAGTACAAACCAGAACATTCACATGACATTAGAATTTTTTAAATTTGGGTTCATCTTTTGAAAATCACGAGCACTCTTTGTTTTTCGAATTCATGAACAATTTTTGGATCTGCAAACATTTTTTGAACCAGTGAAGTTTTTTTAAAATTTGGGAACAATTTTTGAAATTCGTGTACATCCTTTCTGCTTTTTGAATTTTTTTTTTCTAAATTTTCATGAACACTAATTCGTGTTTTTAAATTTTCATGAACACTAATTCGTGTTTTTTGTTGAAATTGATGAACGTCACGAACATTTTGAGATGTACCAACATTTTTTTAAATCATGAATATTTTTAAAATCTGTGAGCATTTCATGATTTCTTAAAAAATTATCTTATTTCATTCTTTTATTTGAAAATATTAATTTTATTTTATTGAACAACGTGGAGACCGAGACATACGAAGCAGAGAAAAAGAAACATGCGGACGACCGAGAAAAAAACAACAACGCGGAATTGGGCCAGGCCATCTAACATTGCCAGACTCCCCACGCACGTTGGCCCGTGCCTTTGGTCGCCAAAAGGCCGGGCTCCATGGAGCTCGTTCTGCAAAAGAAAAATCAAAATATATTTAAAGTTTTAAAAATGTTATTATTTTCACAAATGCATATGCACGTATTCTTCAATTATGTATAAATTTGATTATTTGCATGCCACACAAAAAAGACAAATATCTAAACCAAATACAACAAAGAAAAAGCCAATTTTTATCTGTGCATTTGTCTTTTTTATGTATATATGTTCATGAAATTTTATACATGTATACTACAAATATATGTCTACATGAAACCCTTTAATCAGATTTCTTTGAGATGTGAAAAAGGTATTTTCGCTGAAAAAATAACGAGCTCAATGGAGCTTGGCCTCTACACACACTTTGCGGTCCAGGTAGACGCTTCGGGACACCGCTAGCCACTAGGCCAGGCCAAGGCGAACCACCTCGCCGGCCGCGAACAGAACAGGCGGTGAGACGGACCAGATGGTCCCGCCGTTCTTTACCTGATAGCCTATGTAGCCATTTACTGAGAAGGGTTTGTGTCTGAAACATTTGTGTTCTTCTGTGATGTTTTGGAGCTGAAACTGCCCTTTGATAAAATTTGAGTCAGACATAAGTAAGTTGGTCGAAAGAAAGTTCTTGTATTCGTGCGTGAATCCAATTTGCATCTATCTATCTATCTATCTATCTATCTATCTATCTGTTAGATGTTGTGTCTTTTCAGGTTGGCAGTAGTAAGTTTCTGCAGAAAGAAATGGCAGTAGGAGCTGTTTCTTCAGGGATGCTCTGAAGAAGAGGTGAAATTAGTTTGAAACACTGTTCTTGTGTGATAGTGTGTACAATTCTGACGGAACAAGAGAGAAGGAAACTCTTTTTTTGTTCTTGTGATGTCGTGGAACTGAATCTGCCTCTGATCATGATATTCAGACAATTGTCAAGGCTGAACCTTTTCTGTTCTTTTGTCATGTCCTGCCTTTGATCATCAAATTCAGTGTCTCTGAAGTCTGCCTCCAAGTGCATTTTCCGTCCATCTGTTGTAGTGATGATGTTGTGTTGTGTTGTGTCATGTCAGGATGACTAAGTTTAAGAAGTTCAATTCTGCAGGAAGAAAAAAGGCGGCGAGGTTAATGCAAGGTCCGTTCAGACAACAACTTAGCATATTCCAACCCTGCTTGCTAGAATATGTCACTTGGTGAGCATTGTCAGTCTCTGGTACTACTTGCTTAACCTCTGCTCGATCAAATTCCTAGTTACTGCAAACAAGGTCAACTTCTGACACCACCCTTAATTAAGCAGCTTTTTTTTTTGCGAATCCTCCACTAAGCAACATAGCTCCTTAATAAACTCTGCACACATGCTAGGTGAACACCTCTCGATGGCATAGCTTGAAGAACGATCTTATATTATTAGATGGAGGGAGTATATTCGATATTCATCATGGCACGTCTCAAGCCAGCAATACCATGCAGTCTTTGAAGCTTAGCATCGCTCACCGAACAAGTTTATAAAATAAATAAATAGATATAGCAGATACTAAATAAAAACAAAAACGACAATTCTATACAAGATAGCAACAAATCCTAATAAAACTTGCCGTCCTCATCCGATTTCCCTGGCTCCGCCGCTGTCTACTGCTCCTGGATCGACGAAGAGGAGAGCTTGGAGATGAAGAGGTGGTGGTGTGTGGTCCAGCAGGGCACATTGCAGCTAGATGCTGATGATTTGTGCTCCCTCCTAAAGAAATATAAGAGTGTTGGAGTAATAGTTAGCCTGACTTCAATAATCCACACAAAAAATCGAGTTGGACTGAATTAACATAAGATGCACACAACGCGAATCTATCTGCCCCTTGGTTCGCGAAGGAATACGTTCCTCTCTGCACGCATGATCACCTCTCCTCCTACCTGCACGCAGCAAACGAGCAGCAAATTCCGTAAACAAATCTTGGTAAAGTACTTCCCAAGATTGTTTATTTATGTGTGATCACATCCACACATGCATAGATCGAGGACCCATAATAGTCGTACTATCTCACTGTGCCGCGAGCCCAATGTTGAACGACAATTGGTTGTAGCAGTCGAGGTTATTCCCGTAGCCGATGCCAAAGATGTCGCAATAGCGCTTGTAGAACCCGATCCGATCGGCCACCTTGTCGTTCTGCCCCTTGCCGCATTCGATCCCGCCGTTGATGACGTTGGTGATGACACCATACCCGGGCACCCGTCCGGCCGCGCTATCCCTGGCCGTCGGAGTCCACAGCCCCGTGATCACGTCATGGCACGACGGCTTGTTGGACTGCGTCGTCATCCAGAACCATATCGCCGTCTTGAACGCCACCGTCGGGTCCGTGGCCACCAGGTCCGGATTGTTCAGCAGGTCCACCCCGATCGCACGGCCCGCTGGTCCGTAGTTGTAGTTGCTGGATCAATCCAGCATGAAACAAAATCAGGCCAACAAAGACACTACATTTTTCAAATTTTTTTAACCAAATGCAAACAATTTCATATGAAAATATACTTTATCATTGATCTAATTACGGTTACGGTACTATCACAGATGTTGGTAATTTTTCGTGAACATGTGGTTAAAGCTCAGAAAATTTTGAGTTTTGTGGCTGCTTACTGGGTGAGCTGGATGGGGCCGCGGCCATAGTACTGCTTGCCGGGTGCGCACGGCCAGTCGGCGCTCTGGTCGCAGTAGCTCGGTGGCGAGCCCCGCTCCTGCTTGAAGCAGTAGCCCCATGAGAAGGGGCCGTCGGGCGCGGTGGGCCACCCGCCGGTGGTCTCGTGAGAGGTCTGGCCGAAGAAGGCGGCCACCTCCCGCTTCCGCGTGTCCAGGTCTCCGGTGGTGCCGAAGGCCGGGAACGCGCCGGCGGCGGCCAAGAAGGCGTCGTACGTGTAGAACCCGCGGGCCAGGCACGCCGCGTCGTTGCGATGGAGCAGGAACCGCTCGAAGAGGTCCCTGGACACGATGGAGGCCACCCCGCCGCCGCCGCCGCCGCAGCCAGTGCACTGGCTCTGGCAGCGGGGGCCGCAGTAGTCGGAGGTGGTGCCGCAGAACCCGAACTGGCTGCAGCACAGGCAGTCGGCGCACCTGGCGCCGCCGGCTTGCGAGCCGCACTGCTCGGCCGTGGCCGGCGCGACCGCGGCCGCCGCCAGGACGACGGCCAGGATGGCCGTCGCACACCGCGCTCTCAGCGTGGACATGGTTGGATGAATGAGCCGAGGCGCCGAGTGCCGCCGTTTTATGGAACAATTTAAGCCTGCACTAGTCTTGGCCGTTGAATTCTGGAGCGCGGCGGCTGGCCAGAAGAAGCTTCGCCTGTCATGCATCCTCTTCATGATTGCACATGGGGAGTGCCCATGCACGCCTCTTGCGAAGAATTTTCGTCGTCCCTATCCTCTTCATCACTGCACTGCACATGACCATGTCCACCCTCATAACTTGTTGAAATGGACTACATATTGATCCATCTGCCACGTTTGGTTGATAATAAATTAGTTAAGGCTTGATGAAGACTCGGACGGGGTTGGTGTAGCTACAAAGACAAGACAACAAGATTATCCTGTTACTAGAAAACAATTTGTCTTTGATGAATTTGGAACTTAAACTGTGCAAGCATTCTTGGGGCTTTGCTGGTTCTCGGTCTGTGTGATTGTGAATTACAGAAATCCCAGTCGACCGATTATAACCTATAATCAAACTTAGCATGCATATTGGCAAAATTGCATGCGTGCGACCTCTCTAGCTATGCAACTTACAATCAAATTTAGTCGGCGGTAGAAAAAGCAGGGATTATCATTCATCACCTATAATCAAACTCTCTTCTGAGGTATGCGTGCGACCTCTCTAGCTATGCAACTTACACAGACCCATAGCATGCATATTGGCAAAATTGTGCTGGCTGCTGCCCATCATCGATCGTTACTTGAAGCGATAGCAAAGCAGCCAGGATAGGTGGTTGTCGCAAACCAGATCGATTCCCCTCACGTGCGTTTGTTGTCTGGACGGCTTGTATTTTACAAAAACCAAAAAGAAATGGGAAAAGTCTAAAAAAAACCTTGTCTTTGTACTCCTAGTCTGAAAAGAACCCTGTCCTTCAATTCCCTGAAATTAGCACCCTGTGTTATCTGATCCCAGCTTATCCCGGCCCTTCTTGCGTT